GGGGGGATGGGTTAGCCTGGTGATGGGTATTAAAGAGGGCACGTACTGCATGGAGCACTGGGTGTTATATGCAAACAATGAATCATGGAACACTACATCAAAAACTAATGATGTATGGTGATTAACATAATAAAAAAATAAGTTAATTAATTAAAAAAAAACAAAGGATGTTGGTGGCAGATAAACTCATCCACAATTGTGGTATTTGGAAAACATATTAGCAATTATATAAAAGATAATTATCTATAGACTTTTTCTTTTTGTGTATATGCGATTTACAATAATATAAGCCTTAATTATGAGTTTATTTGCCACATGTCTTAGCCTGTTTAATTTCTGAATCTCACTGTTATAAGCATTTCATTTTCTTTTTTTTTTTTTTGTTAATGGCACCAAATTCATCCTGGTTAAAATAAAAATATGACAGATTTTACATAGTCAATTTTAGAATGTAATAATTAAAATAAGCTAGATCAATAAGCTATCAAAGCTAGATAATAATTTTTTATGAAGTTTAAGAATGAAAATAATAGAAAATTTATTTGATAAGTTATATTACACAAATTAAACTGATGTGAATATACACTTTCAGATTAAATATTAGTAATTTTCTCCATTATATTTCTGTCTTAATAAAGGGAGTAAGCATGAACTAAATAAAGTCATAAATAGTTTTTGAATATGTTTTTCAAACAAAACCAAATTATTTCTCTTCCCCCTGCAGATGCAGGATCAGGATCTGGAGATGGAGGTAAGATTTGTCTTTTTATATATTTGAAGACTTACGTGTGGATATCATTTATGGATATTTGCTTATGTATTTACCATTACAGATATCTGAGACAAATTCACATTTTGCATTTTAGGAAAGAGGCAAATGAAAAAGTATCATTCTACTTATGAAGCAAATGTATATACCATGCAAATTATTTAATATATTTATGAATCTTACTTAAGAACTTTACTTCATCTAATCTTTCTTGTTCCTTTATTTGTTTGTGCCCAACTTACCTTTGAGATAGATTTGCATGTCAAAACTTCCTAACAGAAGCTTCCAAGATCATTTGGCAGGGCAGAAAGAATTCATGAAGAAATCACTTAAATAATGAGATTTTAAAATATGTAATATTGCCCTAAATTGCCAAGTATTGATATTAACATACACATAACTACCATGTGAGCAGGTCTTAATTATCAAATCAATAATTTGAAACTGAAAACTTTCTTTTCATAAAAGAAAGTAAAAATGATAAACAGAATTTAAGCCAATGAAAATAATATAGTATCTTTACTTCTTTGGTTAAATTAATTTTTGCTAAGTAAGACATGTTTTCATTATTAAATTATGTGTTTAAGGAAGTATGTAAGATAAAAGAGAGGGAGAAACTTTTAAAATTTTATCCGATGTACTGCCTGCCAAATAAGACTTTATTTATGAATTGAATCTTCATTGTAAATTTCTTAAAATGCTTTTTCAAATGAAATCCCAACAAAATTCCACCCCTATACACAGCAAGAAAAAAAATTATATAAAATTTCAACAAGGAAAATAAAAAGAGAATGAACAAAAACATACATTCTTAAGGCCTTGCTTAAGTTGTATAAACTGATCAAATGTATGATTCAAAGTAAATTTTAGTTTTTAAATACAGAATTTGATAAAAGATAAATAAAAGATTTTGGGTTCAGGAAAGATCTGACTTATCACACCTTATCTAGTTTGGGCAATATTTCAAAGACTTATCAAGGTGCTTTATATAATGAAAGGCTTAACTAGTTTAAATAAACAATACGTAGAGAACACAATTACAGCAAAATATTGGAGCACAATTTTTTCCCATAAAGACTAAAACTGAAGGAGTCAAGATTTAGTACATTGAGAGCATAAAATTTATTTCAGTGTTACATGACATTGGACAGTCATTTGATGTTAGGACAGTCTTTCACTTCTTTTTTTTTTTTTTTTTTAAGATTTTATTTATTTG